GTTTGCATTTGATCGCTCCCCTATATATATATATATATATATATATATATATATATATATATGGCCATGTTCTTTTGTTAACCCAATAATTAATGTTACGTGAACCAATCTTAGCCCTTCATTCTTCAAATCTATGGATTAGATCAATTGGGGCATATTTGTAGTTAATTAAAAATGAAAAATACCAAAACATAGATGAACAAGGGTATTTTTGGAAGATATGTCCAAATCGGTTACAAATTGATAATTAATTAATTATATCAGTTACAAATCGGTAATTGCTCATTCCTTTTATAGTTTCTAGAATCATTCGTGTTGCATTATGAACCCTTACGAATACATATGAACATATATCTAACTTATTAATTATTTAAAAGGGTTCTATTTTCTTTCCTTATTATTATTTTCCTTGATTTTCCTTTTTTTCTCTACTTAAAAAATTTCGAGAGCACGAGGTTTTTTTTCTTTTTGACTTTCCTCTCATTTTCTTCACTTTTCTTATTATTCCTTCGTAAAAAAATGTTTCAAGAGCACAACGTAAAATAAACTCACCCAAAAATCATCTCCAAGAATCATAAATCTCTACCCAATAATCAGAGAAACCTTGGATTAAAGTGTTAGGGAGTTCATACCTTGAGAGATTCTTCAAGATTTCCCCACTCTTTATTTCCCATTGATTTCTATCCAAAGTTTTCTCCCCCTCTCTCTAAACCACACACATATAGTTTATTGAACATGAACTATGGTGAAACTATTTAACAGGAAACCTAATCTTGATTCTTGGACAACAAAGATACCTGAAGCTAATTACTATAAAAGAGTAGCCTATAAAGGTTGGTCTATGATGTGGGGTTTTCCGGCACCATAATCGGTGCCGCCTTCATTAAACCCATAAAATAATTTAAAAATTAAAGCAATGCAATGACACAAATTGACAAATCATCTGTAGAATCAAACCCCTCAATAAAACAACGATCAATGTGTCACCATCAACACCCACAACAAGAAATTATAAGAGAACCCTAGAAGAAAAGAGCAGAGAAATTATCATTCACATGGTCTCTCATGATATATTTTGAAAGAGGGAAATTGAATTCTTGAC